ACAAATACAAATAAGAACACTAAATTTGATTTGAACTATTATCAAACACAAATAAGAATATCAGTATATTCTATTCGAATGTTAATCAAATATATTCAATTAATGATAGTAATAATATTAATAATAATAGTGTGTGTGTGTGCATCAACTACTCACTATATGTTTATAGTAAAAACTACGTAGTATGTATTTAATGATGCTTTTATTATCAACAATGGTAAATATCTAACATAAAATTAGAGTCGTTTGACTTTGATATATGCAATTATCAACTTATTTCACACATTATATGTATAATTTATAATATGTATGTGGTATTGTTTATTTCAAAAACTTTGAAATAGATTTATGTATATTAATCATAAAATTGATTCACTTTAGTACATTGTGCACAACACTACAAAAAAACTCGCTCTTTGTCACGGATTTTTGTCACGGATTACGGCCGTGACAAAGTTGTCACGGGCTTTGTCACGGAATATTGGGATTTGTCACGAAAATGTGTTGTCACGGATAGGTCCGTGACAAAATCCGTGACAAAGTATTGTCACGGCTTTTGGTCCGTGACAAATTTACTCCGGCGACCGGATTTTTACTCCGGCGAAAACTTTTTTGCTCCCGGGCATTTGTCACGGAAAGATCCGTGACAAATCCGTGACAAATTTCAAAAAAACTTTGTCATGGATGGATCCGTGACAAAATCCGTGACAAAACTCAATTATTGATTTTCCAGTTGTACCTTTAATAATACAGTACGAAAAAGGGGTTGTCACGGATAAATCCGTGACAAATCCGTGACAATTTTTTTTATATATCCCAACCCCATCGTCCATTACAATTGCAAGAACAACACTTATCCCTTATCGGTTCAAAAATTCGTAGATTCGAGTGATGTAGTATCGGTTTAAAAATTGAATGATGTAATCTGTCAGCTCATCATTTTTCCTGTTTATGCAGATAAAGTATGTTATTTTAACTAATTTCTTTTAATTATGTAATAAATTATTAGCTTAGTGAGGTTAGTTGTTCATCATTTATTTAAACTATTAACGTAATTTTAACGTAATTTAGTGAGGTCATGTTAATTTTCATATTATTAACAATTTAAAGGACGGAGGTAGTATTAAACTATTAACGTAATTTAGTTAAATTTAAATATAAATATTAATTAGTTAATTGAAATGAGTTTATATCACCAATGATTAGGCCGGTTTGTTTATTAGCAATTATTGTTATTAATGCATAATTTAGGATTTGTAGTGATTTAAGTTAGCTAGCTTAATTAATTATAATTATTATAGCTTAATTAGTGACTTGTAGTGATTTAAGTTAGCTAGCTTAGGTTATTAATTATCACCGATTATTGTTTATTAGCAATTATTGTTAATGCATAATATATGATTGAAACTTTATTAATTAGTTTAGTGTGAATTATTATTGTGAATTAATGACATAATATTTAACAATAATATTAGTTAAATGTAAATTAATTAACTAAGTTAAAACATTGAACTTTAGTGAAATGGGTTTAGAATTTGAGTGATAATATTAGTTAGATTTAAATATTAGTTAATTGAAATGGGTTTATAACCAATGATGATTAGGTTTGTTTATTAGCAATAATTATTGTTAATGCATAATTTAGGATTTGTAGTGATTTAAGTTAGGATTCAAACTTTATTAGTTAAGTGTGAATTATATATATATATTATTGTGAATTAATGATATTTAACAATATTAGTTAAATGGAAATTAACTAATTAATAAGTTAAATTAGTTAGCTTTAGTATTGTGAATAAATGCCATTAACGTAATAACTTTAATTAGTATTATATGTTAGTTAATTATTTAATGTGTACTATCATATTTTCATAATTTTAGTATTGTGAATAAATGTCATCAACGTAATAATTTAGTGTGTTTGGTGCACAAATTCTAATATTGTGAATTAGTTAATAATTGAAACGATTAATGCCATTAACATATTACTATTAGTTAATTAGTTATTTTAATTGAAGGTTAGTTAATTTTAGTGAACTTTAATGAAATTTAATATATTAATGTTACTTGAGTGAAATATAAAATAGTCTAAGTTCACTAAGTTCAACCGAACTAGCTTAGGTTGTATTAATTTTAGTGAACATTATATTAGTAAATTATTAATTCCGGCCATTAACATATTTATTTTAGTTAATTAATAATATTAATAGTGAACTTGAGTGAAATTTAACATATTAATGTTTCTAAATATGAATTAGTCATGATTGAAAAGTTAGATAATTCAAATTATTAATGTCACAAATGTACTGCTTTTAGTTAATTAATAATATTAATTGAACATTACTTAATGTACTTATATAATATTTTCATTATAATATACAGGCATAATGTATAGACAAAACAGAAGTTGGATGTACCAAAAACATCATGATAACTATGGAATACGCAGTGAATTTCTTAATGGTGTTGAAGATTTTATTAAATTTGCACAAGAACAGAAGAATTATATGGATGGCGTATTTTTTTTTAAAAAAATGTTTTGTCACGGATGAGATCCGTGACAAGTTCAAAATTTTGAATATATTTTTTGAAATTTTTAAAGTACCCGCCCACCTGTTTCGAAATTTTTCAAAATTTTTTCAAAATTTTTTGTCACGGATATGTCCGTGACAAAATTAAAAATTTGAATTTTTCAGATCGTTTCAAATACCCGCTCACTCTATTTCGAAAACCTTTTTTTTAATTTGTCACGAATATTTCTGTGACAAATAATTATTATTTTTTTGAAAAATAAAAAAATTTATTCACGGATGTGGCCATGACAAATAAAAGGCGATGGAGTTCCGGTGAAGTGTTTTGTCACGGACGGTGGCCGTGACAAATCCGTGACAAACGGTCTCACGGATTAATGTTCGTGACAAAAACGTTATCACGCTCCTGGTGTCACGGATTTGTTCCGTGACAAAGTCCGTGACAAAAATCATTTGTCACGGATTTTTTGAACTACGGTCCGTGACAAAATCCGTGACAAAGCAGGTGTTTTTTTGTAGTGCAACCTAGAAATGCATTGATCCATTAAATTTTAATAAAAATGTAATGTTACAAATGAAATTCTAAAAGCACATATTAATCAAGTTATAACATTCATTTATAACATAAGAAATATAGGAAAAATTGTTTCAAAGTGATATTAGACTAATATTTACCATATGATCAAATCGATTCGATGTTCGTATATGATTCGTAAATTATTCACATTGTTAAACAAATATGAATACACATCGAAATACATATTCGTTTCATATTCGAATTCGGATTCGAATTCAAAAAAGTAAAACAAATATAAATCTAAAATCACACTATTCGACTCGATTTGATTAGTTTACAACTGTACCCGCAAATAAGCATTTCAATATAATTTTTAGTATACCATTACGTTGATATATTTTTGCGTCACTCTGTTCTTATGTGTGAACAGTTGCATTTATAGTTTCTATAATATAGATTATGGAGTAGGTCTGAATTAGTGTTTGTTATATGATGATGTAATCGAACTTAATCCATACTTAATGTTTTATGCAAAAAAAGCCAACAAAAGTATAGTGTTTGATACAGTAGTAGTTACTTGTATATTTGTTATGACTATTCAGTCATGTGATATTTATTTTTGTCCATGTTTTAATCATACATCAATTTACATGTGATTATTGAAAACTCGTGCAATACAAGTGAAGACACTAATAGCAACAACATTAGGGTATATATGAATCAAGGAGTATTTATTTGCACTTGTTGTAAGATGTCAAGAAGTTATCTGGAGTCTGTTTGGTAATGTTGACATAAGCTGAATCGGGTGAAACTTTTGAAATACGAAAAAAGCGGCTAAATTGTCTGATCTTAAATTAGGAAATGAAAGCAAAAATATTTTTATTAATAAAATAATGAATACATTATATGAAAGTATGACTAAAATATATATTCCTCTTTAGCAAATTTAGGCAAAAATATAAGGATGTTTGTAATTGGAATGTAATTTTTCGATCTAATTTGATCTGAGTTGGTCTAGTACATGTTTGATGTGTATTTTACAACAGTCACAGTTGATCTCTTCTGATCTGATCTGTTCTAATACATGGGACTAAAGCTAGATTAATTGAAAAGATTTTGACTTCAACTTTAGTTATTTGATCATGGGTACTCTCTTGTCTTTTTAAAATTTTGGCATCTTTGAATTTCTTGGTTAATCAAATTCAACTTTGACCAATTATATATTTTATAGGAATTTATTTGTAATATAAAAATGTTCTTTATTAAAAGTTTTACATAAAAGTACAAAATTTATAAATTCCAAATATTATACCCTCTTTGTTCTCCAATACTTGTCCCCTTTCCATTTTGGGTTGTTCTTCAATAGTTATCTCTCTTTCCTTTTCTAGAATTTTTTTTCAATAAATATACCTATATATCTCATTCTATTTCCTATTTTTTGATCTGTTTTTCTACTTTTTTATTTAAACACAACATACTGCACCTTTTACATTACTCATCCTATTTTCCTATTAAAAGTTATGCCAAACCCCGTAGAGACAAGTATTGAAGAACGGACCGGTGGGCGTAGCTCAACTGGTATCGAGGTGGTGCCACAAGGGTTAGGTTCCGAGTTCGAATCCCGGCAACTGCGATGAGATGTTACTATGTTAAAAAATGCATAGGACTTCTGCAAGTACCGGGGACAGAGCTTCACTCTCTATCTGTCTTATTATGATTATAGTCCAATTTATATCCTCCCAACGTACCATCCATTCGGTGTTGGAGGCCCTCAGGGATGTAATCCTTTTTTTAAGTATTGAAGAACGGAGAGAGTACTAATCAAAATCATGATCCAGATTTTACCGGTCCTTTTTTTTGAAAGTAAAAAATGGCAAAATTTTAATCGAGGGGAGGTGCTATATAGGCATCTTTACTCGGTTAGGAACTTCCCCACCTACCTCCAGCCAACGCTGGATGCTCAGAATCCCTCAGATCATATCGCTCTCTATTTTCTAGGTCAAAATTTATATATTTTCCTATTTAAGAGCAGATGTAAATTATTTAAATGAAAAAAAGGGTTTTCAGTTTTTTCACTACAGATAAACTTGAGGGGTATCGGGCAATTTTCACTCTAATGGCAATAATGGCATGAGCTGTATAAAACCGGGCCGGGTAGGATTTCCCTCTCCCTCGCTTTGCTCCGTATTTTCCCTCCTCCAATCTCCGTTCGCAGAAAAAGCTCCTGTCACCTTCTCCGTCTGGCGTCTGCTGCCACCACCGTTCGATCGGAGCCAGCGTCTCAGCAGCGGCGTTTGCTGTCACTGATAATTTTATCCTCGTAAGGCATTCCCTTTTTTCCGGTGTAGATATAAGCTTAGACTCACTCTATCTAAGTGAACGGCTATACTTTTATCCTGTTTGTATCTCTATCTGACCGGCGATGTATTTGTCCTGTTTTTTATAAGAGAGTAAAAGACCTTAGGGCTTAGGAGAACACTTCAGAAGCTTTGTGTTTCTTATGGGTACTCCACTCTTTCTAACTTACTTTTTCTTGTTTGCTACGTTGCCTGATCAATGTGTCTAGATTAGATTTTTCATGAATCTAAACTCAATTAAGAAAAGTTATGCTTTGGAATGTTAATCCAATTTAAATTATACTTCGTTTTATTGTTTTTTCATCCTTTCCATTTCAAAGCCCTAGCTCATTTTCTCTCCCTCACATTCTAACTTCCTTTATGTTCTTTTTTCTCTGTTAAAGTTTTGGTTGTCATAGGTAAGGTATATGATTCCTGCTTCTATATGAAGTGCCCATGCAAATAGTTGAAGCATAATCTTTTTAAATCTCATCTTCCAAACTCATTTAAACTTTCAAGAACAAACTTGTAGGAGGTGTAGCAGATCAACCGGTGTAGAAGAACGGTTATCTGACAATTTCTGCTGAAAATAAGCAACTAAAGCGAAATTAGTCTACAAGCTGAAGGATGCATTACTCTGCAGTGCAAATTGCTTGTAACTTAGTATGTGAAGAAATTGAACATACATTTTGACACATGTAGATCGTAGTGAATGCATATAGTTCCTACAAATCCCTAAATTCAAAGCACAAAACACAGCATTTTGTCTACTTGACGACCATGAGATACTCTAAGCGGTTACTATCTCGTGACCAGCAATTGCATCTTTCTGCCATTAGAGAAAGATCTGTGAAGGCTTGCCCGAGAGGTCATGGGTTCAAGTCTTGGGGGCAGCCTCTTGTCAAACTTGACAAGGGAAGGCTTGCCCCTTATACACCCTTATGGTGGGATCCTTCCCCAGACCCTCGCCTTGTGGGGATGCATTCGTGCACCGGGCTGCCCTTTTTTTTAGAGAAACATCTATCTTACCCGCACGGGTAGCTCAGTTGGTCGAGCGGTGGGAAAAATTGGACGTAGACCAAGGTTCGAATCCCGCAGCGGCCAAAAGGGGGTTTTCGGAACCTGAAATAAGGCTGTCCCTCTGGTGCGCACGGGTAAAGGCCTACTGCCGCTTTGCCGACTGAGTCACCGTGATTTACTCCCCCACCATCCTGTCGGGTCGGGGTGGGGGGGGCCTTGGGGTTGGGGATTCAACCTTTTTGGACGTTAGAGAAACATCTAGGAAGAAAGAAATAATTTGTTAAAATGGGACTGAGATATGGATTTGAAAGGTTTAGGGTGAAAAGAATCACCTTTTTTGTTGTATGGAGCGATTTCTGTGTTACATTTAGCAATCATGTAACTTTTCTGAATTGCGACTGGACAACTTGATGTCTTGAGGAAGTATTTTTTGTGTTTCTGTGGCCTCGTAATTGTTGCATTCTCATTGCTATCTGTGTTTTTTAAAAAGAAATTGTTGCATTTTCGTTGTGATCTGTGTTTTTTAAAAAGAACATCTTTTTCTCCTCTGGAAGTCCAATTTTTCGTATTCCACTTTTTTTGTCTCCTTCATAGGGTTTTAATAATTGCCATTTCCTAAGTTCTTAAGGTTTCCTAAATCGAAAATGCAGATATTTATGCTTGAGAGTTGTGTTCATGGATACTGAGGTTGACTGCAATCTGTTAAGTAATGGGCAAAACTTATCACAGCACCGTGCCCTTGAAAATTTGGACCTTGTCTACAGTCTTAAAATGGATAAGCAGATTACAGACGAGTTGCTGAAATTGCCTTCAAAACCAACTGCTTTCATAATCCCTGCAACTCCTGATTCCAAGCAGGGGGTTGAGGAATGCGCGAATGGTTTTGCATCTTCCACTTCTTGTCTTCCAAGGGCTCTTTGCTTCACTAGTTCTCAAAGTGACATCATATCCTCGAATGGTCACAGTCCACGCACCCCCAAAGACAATGTGTTTGATCCTTTTGCTCCTGGGCCAGACCATCTTCTTCTAGCTCCCCTTGGTAAGAAACATGGTGCAGATTCACGATCCAGTGTTGCCCGTATGCTAAAGTTTGAAGAATCCGCAGGGTATAAGAATGACTCAATCAGTGTTGATTCTATGCCTGATGAAGTAATGCTTGAAACATTATACAGAATGCTCTTGGAGGTTATTCTTTCAAAACATAGGGAAGAGGTTCTTGCTGGGATCTCAAATCCGCAGTATGATTCTGATGGTGACAGGACACCTACTGGTGCACCTGCTATAAGTGGAATTACTGACAGTTGTCCGGGTGCTCCCAAGAAGACTACCAGAAAATTCATAAACATTGAGAAGGGGTTGTGCAAGAAGCTTGAGTTTTGATGTTTTCTTTGTGCAAGAAGATTGCACCGTGACATGGTGAAGATGTATGTGCCGTCCGCCTTTTGTTCAGTTGCATTACCCTTGTAAGTCATACAACATGAACATGTTTAGCTTTTAGTAATAATATACTTTTTATGGTCTGATTTAGTAATTTTACCCGCAAGTGCCCATCTTCTGCTGCTGGAACTAGGCATCTGTACAATGTAACTTTAAATTCGAATTGAATTGCCTTCTATTATTGAAAAGATGGAATGTTGTTGCTGGTAAGTTGCTTGCTTTATTTGCTTATATGGAGAATCTTGATTGTCTTTAACAGGATGAATCTAGGTCTGACCCAGAGAAATGAAAGATTCCTGTGTCTAAATTAGGAATAATAATAAAAGTTTCTTGCTTATTAATTGAATTTGTCTAGGGCAGTGAAAACTCGCATCTACCGCCACTTGTTTGGAATTTGCCCAGAATCCCAGGTGGTATGTTCATTAGGGTTAGGGCTTTTGGCTTACCAATTATTTCTAAGATTGTATTAGATCATGTAATACCTGTAGTAGGTAATGTGATAGGACAAACTATAGAGTTTAGTAGTTAAAGTGAGATTATTCGAATGTAAGATCTGATGGTTTTGTTGGAAAATAAATATATCATTTTAATTTAATCCATGTCAAATGCAACAATACCTTATTTAGGACACAAATGGAATGCCCTCTATGATTGTTGCTATTAAGGTAATGTGGGACTGGGAGCATCTAAGAAACTAAGTCACCTTGTATTACCTCATTTTATATTTTTATTTGTGTGATGGTAACCACATGTTACTCTAATAGGTATGGTTGTTTGGAATTGACTCAACTTTTGCTTAAAAAAAAACAGAAACAGAATTTGAATTAGTTTTTTAGAAGTTGGTCTTCTTCAACTTCTAAAAATAGATTTTAGGAGCAATTTGGAGCACCTAGCAGTATTTTTGCAGTTTGCCAAACATTCTAATATCTGCTTCTGATCCATGAAAGAATAAAATCATTTTAAGAAGTAGATTCAAACGCTCTTTACTCGAGTAATCTCAAAACTCGAACTCAAGTAATTTACAAAATGTCATACTGATTTTGGGTCAAAAAAGCCAATATAATCTGCTGCGTAGTGTATCGCAATCGGCTGATTGTCAAACAATTTTTCATATCACCAAAACTGCTCTCAATATTTTCAGAGTAGGCTTCCATGGATCGTGATAGCATTAGTACGATTTGGTAACGCAAAATGAGTATGGAGAACAACTTGTATGTAGTGAGTGATACATTCTTTGAGTCGTTTTGTGATATAGAATTAATGATTCTATTGTTTCATTATTTCACTGGGAAGAATCCAATTCGAATGTGATCCATTTATTAGCTCTAGAGTTGGCGTAACATTTTTGCGTAGTTACTAAAACGATTAGTTCTTAGCTTTTGTATTATACTTTAAATAACGCAAATTATTTTGTGATACCGTTATATCATGCGTATGTGATGGAGTATAATTCTAATTGCAAGAGCTAACTAACGAATAAGTATTTTGAAATTGCAAGACATTATTATTATTTTAGAGACTGATCCTCCTTAGGATAATTGCAAAAAGTATTTATAGACACAATACTATAGTAACATTAAGAGACATAATCGACAAATTTAATAATTCTAATCATGAGAGGACTCTTCTAGCGTATTTGACATAACTCTCGTATTCAATGCCTCCTTTATGTTCGATAAGTGAGGGCATGATGAGTTTTGAAGCCTTATGGGGTTATGAGGACCATTCCACCCCCTCAACCTTTGGATTCCAATGATGATCCTTAGTCATGAGGGTCCATCAATCCTCTTCTTCCTGACGTTTTTCGCCAGCTAGGTCCGATGGAGTGCATTCTACCAGGAAATCCGTCAAGAGTGTGCTTTAATGACTATATGTGGTTGAAACTCCACCTGATACTGGATGATCACGAGTGACCCTTTCACTACACGAGTTGTTTGACCGTCCGAAAGATAGCTCCTTCCCCGAGATCTGAGATAATCTTAATCGGGTGTGCTTGGAAGTAGTTGGCGAGCTTCTTCGCTGCCTCATAAGATTCTAAAGTCGTCTTTTCTGATGTGGGATACCTGAGTTCGGCGTCGTGTAGTACTTTATTGATATAGTCAACACTGGCATTGATCTTTTCAGATGGCCCCTTCTTGTATCCTGGTAAAGGATATTCACCAAGGTGTCATTGTCCACGAGCACTCTATGCACGATCGTGTCCATTACTTCCATCTTAATTACCAGAGCATCCCTCCTCCTCATCCTCCTTGATAACCCATCATAACCATATACGCCATGTATCTTGAGACATGGTGTTGTGGATCATTTTCCCCCGGTAGACCTCGAGGTTACAAGGTTTGTACCCATGTGGCATGGGGCGTCCATAATTGTCCGCACAAACGGTTCCGGAACCCTCACCTCATGGGATTAGTCAGTTCTGCCATCTACTACTCTTCTTAGGTTGTTCAATCATCTCTTAGATCACCCACATCCCTATTGGCCTGGTTGTTCCGCCAGGGGCTAGGATCTCGACGCTTTTGTCGGTGTCTATGAGGTTCTCACCCGCCATCCCTTCCACACGCGCTGGGACGATGAGAGGAGACAGGTGCAAATGAAGTTCCCCCACTTTCTTCGATCCTTGCGGGGAGTCTATCGTGAACAGAAACTCTCGCACTACCAAATCGATTCATCACCGAAGCCTCTGCCTCCACCATCTGTGGCACACAAGGCACACGATGGGGGGAGGCTATCTCGGTGCCACACCGAGTATAATCCCCTGGAAGGACGTGATTAAGATTTCCATAGCTCTTTGGAAAGTAGCTAAACTTGCCAGTGCCTAGACGGGTTCCATGCCCTAAACGGGGCCTCCTCTAATGGGTGTCCGCAACTGAAACAGACGAGTTGTGGGTGTCTGGAACTTCCCACACCATGCAAACAATCCCTCAGGTCTCCCGTGGGGAGATCATTATCATTCCATCATCGGAATCATTGCACGTCGAGAGTGAGATCCCTCGTCCTCGATGACAACCAGATTGACTCTAGTATCACCGAGATTGCTACCAACTCAGTTGTGGCTATGCGATCCAACCATTTTGTTTATCGCCGATCAAATCTCAATGATAGCATTAAATGATGGAGTATAATTCCAACTCCAATAGATAATTATCGATTAAGTATTTTGGCAGCTTAATGCAATATTATCATTGTAGAGGGTGATTCCCTTAGGGTAATTACAAGAATTATTTATAGACACAATGTTACAGTAGCATTAGGAGATATAATTGATACATTCAACAATTCCAATCATGAGGGAACTCTTTTAATGTATTTGACATAACTCTCGTATTCAATGCCTCATTTTATGTCAACATTTCTTCAACTTTATTCCTTGGCACTGCCAAGTAGCCACACATTCATAGATGGTTTGCCACATAAGCCCTAGAGAGAATCTAACTTCGTTGACGCATCGACCAGGCTTGAGACCCACTGTTCACAATGGTCTTAGTACGGTAGACCCTAAATGGGCTGTGATCCCCTATTCAGGCCCAAATGACGTTATCTGTTAATCCCGTGTTATTGGCTTCCCTTGGATTGGGTCGTAATATGTCATTGGACAATGATCACAGTCCATAGTACCATCACTATGTTATACCGGTTTCATGAAAAAGAAGAATTAATTCCACTATTGGTTCTACGAGATTTGTGCCAATTTCACATTTAGTCCACGTCTTTCACTTTGTCCACTTTTGGTACTTGACTAATGTTTTTTAACCTTTTGTGGTCGTTTTCTGGCGATTTTAACCATCCGAAACAATGTCGGATTGACCATATATGGAAGAAAATACAATAGTCCTGTATCAAAAGTGGACAAAGTGAAAGATGTGGACTAAATGTCGAATTAACCTAAAACTCGTAGGACTAAAAGTGGAATTTATTCTAACAAAGAATGCATGATTTATATTGGAACAATCACACAATTTTCAATTGGGATTAGTGATGGGCTAAACCGGCCCGGCCCGGCCTGGAACCGGGCCGGCCCGTTACTGTTTGGGCCCGGACCGGACCGGGACCAGTTGGCCAGTTCCGGGCTTTTAGCCCGTTTGGGCGGGTCGGGCGGGCCGGGATCGGACCCAACATTTGGTGAACCGGCCCAGTTCAATTTTTTTAATTCTTTTTTGCTTTTCTAGGTTAGGGCTGAGTGTTTTGGGGGGGTTTGGAGGTGGGGGTGAGGGGAGGAGGTCGGGTGTTAATTGGAAACCAAAAAAAAATTGAACTTGACCCTGGCCCTGCCCGGACCCGATATCAACCCGGCCCGATTCTGGGCCCAACATTTTGCAAAAAAAAAACCCGGTTGGGCCCGGACCGGCTCGGGTCCAACCCTAGTCGGGATGAAGAGAATAGTAAGCAATAGTATCATATCATCAATCAATAACTGATTTTATAATATTTTCATTATACTTGGACTCTTCAATTATAACACACTAATTCATCGTACCATTTCTGGATCAAATGATCAATATCTTTGACATGTTATCATTTTGATTCAATAATAATAAACTAGTGAGAGAATTCCCTAAATAGGAGTAAAAAAGTTTTAAAATTCCAAAATAGGAGTATCATGTTTTTTATTCCTTGAATAAGAGTAAATTTTTGCCAGATTTGGCATTACTAGACCTTAAAACATGGCATTTTTGTTCAAAATTGGCAGATTACTCTTATTCAGATAATAAAAAACACGATACTCCTATTTTGGAATTTCAAAACATTTTTGCTCCTATTTGGAGCAATTTCTATAAACCTGATTTGTCGATATCGTCAACGTTGAAATTTAAATAAAGCATGGGTAATTTAATTGCAACGTAGATAAATTAAACCAAGAAGGGAATTCGTGTGCTATCATCAATGTGATCCCGGTACACAACTCACAACACGTAAGGTATGTGATACAGTGATAGTGTGATACATAACAATGGATCTCAAATTTCCCAGTAACAATATACTGTAAAAGTGTAAATCTAACTCTGTAATCTGGACAAGGAAGGTAAAAAATCAAAGCCGACTGCCGCCATATCTATAGCTTCGTCTTGTATTGACATGTCTGGTTTACAACACTCCTACTGCCGACATTGATGAATAAATCGCAAGTGCTGACTGATTTCACACGAATATTGAACAAAAATCGAACCTTACCGGTAATTTTCGTGTAGGTGGAGAGCGGAAGCGCTCCG